AAGCAAAGTTAGTCAGTCAACAAAACAAACCAATAACAACAATGTGGTGATATCTTGTCTGTACTCTAAAAAATAAAGCTTGTCTGAAGATCAGAGGGTGGAGCTAGCTATTAGTTAACCATAGAGGCCTGGATATCTGTACAACAGACAGGAAGTGATATGAGTAGGCAGAGATAGGAAGAGAGAGGACTGTAAGGTAGGAGGAAACATGAAGTCAGCCATTTTGGCCGAGGAGTTATCAAGGTAAGAGTTGGCTATTGCTTGCTCCTTTCCTCCTTTATCTCTCTGATCATTCAGTATTTATTCCCCCCATCAAAAAAAAAAACAAGTAAGCCTATTTAAAGATGATGCACAGAAATAAACAGAGAAGTCTCAAAAGGGAAATTGCAAATAGCTGAAAATCACTTAAAGAACTGTGTAAAGATTCCATAATATGACTGTCAGAATGGATAAGGTAAATAAAACAGGTGACAGCTCATGTTGGTGAGGAAGTGAATCAAAGAAAACACTCATTTATTACAAATGGGAGTGCAAAATTGTACAGCCACTGTTGAAATCAGAGTGTTGGGTTTTAAGGAAAATGTGAATCAATATATATCAAGACACAGCTCTATTACACTTAGACATATACCCAAAGAATTCCATCCTACCAAAGAGATTCTGGCTCAGATACATTCATTATTGCTCAATACACACCAGCTAGTGTTTGGAAACAACATAGATGCTCCTCAACCAGAAAATGAATGAAGAAAATAAGGTATATTTACACACTGAATTATTACTCAGAAGTTAAAAACAGGTAACAACATAAAATTTACTAGTAAATGGATACAACTAGAAAAACTCATACTGAGTGAAATAAGCCAGACTCAGAAAGACAATATGTTATGCATTTGCTTATATGTTGATATTAACTGTTTAATTAATGATAACCAAGCTACATCCTTGAATCCAGAGGTTAATTCAGATAAATGGACCAGGGTCACATATGCATCATCTGTAAAAGGGAGATAAAATAGATGGTTATGGGAAATGGGGGTACAAGAATAGGAAATCAAGTGTGGAGGAAGAGGTACAGGAGAATAAGAAAGAAAATTTGAGAAGAGACAGCTAAAATTTGGGTCATTTGAGAGGTAATAAAGCCAAATAGAGTAGAAGCTTTGTAAAATATGTACATATATGAAGGAGAGCTAAATGAAGTTGTCTAAAATGGAGGAGACAGAGTTCTAACAAGATAGTTCTTGTCAACTTAAAGATGCTCCAGCACCAGGAATAGGTTACAACAAATTGAGATGTTGGCCAAAGGGATCCCATGGGAATCCAAACAACACCAGATGTTACCAAGACTATAAGTTGTTCTTCACAAATTGACAACAAGGCTCTAATGCTAAAGACACAACTCAGTAAACATAGGGAAGTCGATTTGATACTTACATAAAGCTTCACACCTATGCTCTAGCATCTTAGGTACACAAATATACTCTACACACTACCAAGCATAAATACCAACCCAGCCACAAATCTTTGATTGACATTAATGTCATGTATAAAAGATATGCTAGGGCTTTGATGACATATGAGAGTAATAAACCAATGTGTGGCTTGATTTAAGCTTGTTACACAAGGCAAAACCCATACCCAACATTGCTCAGGTGACCATGAACCAGAGACCAGATATCCCAGGGACCTAGGTTATAAGAAATACTAGGAATCTTTAAAAGTAAAAGTAGCAATAAAATGACTCCTAATGATATTCTCCTATATTCAGATGAGTACCTGCACTCCAAGTCCTAAACAGATGACTCACTCCATCAAAGCACTTCCCTAAGGGCTCACTGAACACAGAGAAAGAGGAAACAAAAAGAATGTAAGAGCCAGAGAGGATGGCATGCAGGAAGTTAGCAGACACTTTGAATCAGTGATTTTCAACCTTTATAAAGTTGCAACATGTTCTTCATGGTGTGATGACCACAAATCATAAAATTATTTCTGTTGCTACTTCATAACTAAAATTTGATACTGTTATGAATTTCAATGTAAATATCTGATATGCCAGATTTCTGACATGCAACCCAACTGAAAGGGTCATTTGATCACAAAGGGGTCCTCACCCACATATTGAGAACCATGTTTCTTCTGCAACATGATCAAAGCTCATATGAACTCAGAGACCAGAGAGCAGCATACACAAGATGTGTAGGTGTCCTATGCATATGTGTTATGGCTTCAAACTTAGGGTTCTCAGTGTGATTCCTAAGTGTGTATATATGTGGGTCTCTGATTTTTGTACCTTCTCTTTGGCTGTTTTCCTCTTGTTTTTATGTCTTATCCAAATTTGATGTGATAGTTTTATTTTCCCTTACCATATTTTGTTTTCTCATATTTTATTATTATCTCTTAAAATCCTGTTTGTTTACTAAGAAAAGACAGAAAGGGAATGAATTCAGATTGGACAGAAGGTATGGAGGAACTTGGAGGAGTACAGCAAAGGAAAAAAAAACATAATCAGTATATTTTATACGTGGGAAAATATATTTTTAATAAAAAGAAAACTAAAAGAGCAAATGTTAGTGTCACAATGTTGTTCACTCACCTCCCCTTAGCATCTTGAAGCAACAACAGAGATCCTGAGTACTATTGTTTGTACTCTAGGTAAGATACTTACTACTAATGGAGTATTGTGATGAAAAAGTAGAGTAAAGGTGTGGTGATTTCTATAATGCATGTGGAGGTAAGTGGACCACATTGTGGCATTAGTACTTGCAACTTTAAATGATTTCCTGGGATGGATCCAAAGTCATCAGACTTACATGGCAGGTCTTTCAATCACTGATCCATCCCTCCAAGACACATGTAATTACTTTTAAAGCTAGTCATGTGGGCACATTGGACCACTTATCTTCAAGAAGCATTACTAGGAAGCTATTGCTGATGGTTCAACATTTCTGAAGATGAAGGATTGAAGGCTTGTTTAATCTCTTCATGACAAACATGGTACCCTAAGGGTAACCCTAAGGGTCCAATATGGGAACATGTACCTTAATGGTTCATAATAGTGGTGTAATTGGACTTAAGGTCTTCTAAAATATGAGGAAATATTGCCTGGTTCTGGAAATCTAACCAACTGTCCAGGGCTAGTGCCTTTATTAATTTTGAAATCTACAGCAACTTTACTAAATAAGCATAATTTCTAATTACAATCTAAATACTTATCCTTGTACTTGCAGATAAATATAGTTCTTACACCTCATCAAACATCTTATAGCCTCAGACAAAAACCATTAAAATACAGAAATCAACAAAAATACAGATAACAGGTAATTGTTTGGTGTTCAGTCTTAGCTGATCTGTCAATAATAGCACTTCTACATATAAAGCTCAGGAAACATCATGAAAGACAAGGAAGAAAGACTATAATATAAGAACCAAAGGAACAGAGGGTTTATTATGAGATTGCAACTCTTTGAAATGGAGTCAGTCTTAAAATATTTACATATAAATAATATACAGCCTAAACAGGTTGTATTTATATATTTATTAAGATAAATATATCTGTATATGTGTCTTTGTGTGTGTGTGTTTGTAGATATGGAAAGTTAGTTAAAGATAAAATGAATTTGAGAGAACAGAAGAGGCATATAGGAAACATTAAGAAGGGTAAGAGAAGGAGGAATGGTATAACTATAATTAATATAAAAATATATTAATAAAATTTTAACTTAAGAAATACAGAATACTGCATAAGAAAATGTCTAACAATATGATGAATTATGGCAGATGATATACACTCTAAATGCCTACTGCACTCCATTTCTTTGCAATGTCTTGCAGCTTCTTGGCTTCTGACAGATTTTTCTAGATATACGTAATAAGCGTATTAAAGTTTCTTATCTAGGTTCATTGTCATTTATTTAATACATCCTACAGAAATAAAGAAAAAGGGCTATAGCTTCAGGAATAAGCTTTGTAAAATAAAAAAAATATCAGAAAAAATTAAAACAACTTGTCAAATTGAACATATTCAACATTAAACATACTCAGAAATTTTAACCATTCAACAATGAAATGAAATAGCACAATATAATAAATGTATATCTAGAGTTTGAGGTAAGGAATTGTAAGGGTGTAGGGCTCAGAGGTAAAGAGTCTGTTCTGCTCTTGCAAAGGACACAAATTAGTTCCCTATGCCAACACCAGGAGGCTCACAATTGCCTGTGACACCAGCTCCAGGGTATCTTATCAGTGCCCTCTTCTGGCCGAACAAAGCACCACAATCCACATGCACATATTAACATATAAAATAAAATAAAACAGTTTTTAAAGAATATGTATGCTACATTTTAAAATAAATTTCACTTAAAGAAAAACTATACTTGCTTTATTTCTTTGATTTTGAAAAGAAGTGGAATTTTATTATTCTAAAAACTAGACAATCAAGCAAATTATTGAATGATTATAACCCAACACAGCATTATTACCAGCAGAATCATCTTGATAGAGACATTAGGACTGCTGACATTTTTCACAGGACACCAGAGGAAGCATTGGGTCTCAGATTTAAAAAGTAACAACATGTAAACTTTTAGTATAATAATCAAATTGATTATTTGAATAAAAGGTGTTGGGCCCAGGATGCAGCTCAGTTGTCGTCATGGTACATGTTGTGACTGAGGATCTGTAATCTGAACAATTTCCAAGAAGCTGTGGTCCATCATAACTATGGTAAAAGAGGGAGTGTTTGTGAACCCACCTATGGGGAAACACATCTTTAATACAAGCACTTGTGCGACACTCTCAGGTAATCTTTGAATTCAAAATCAACCTACTCACAAAATGCATTCCCGGCTAGCCAAGGCTACAGAGAAACCATGTCTGGAAAAAATTAATGAACACAGGGTGAAAGCGGATGTGCTCTGTTAGTCAGCTTTCCGTGTCGTGGTTAGATAGATACTTCAAGCCACTCACGACATCCTGTAAGCTTTATTCTGGCTCTGCCCCTGGTCAACTGAATCAACACCATGCTGTCCGTGCTCCTAAACCTTGTGTCTATTGGTGAGTCCTGCTGGGAATGAAGGGTGTGGAAAAACAGGGTGGAAATCTCCTGGGAGGCTGGACCCATCCACGACAGAAACTCTGGCTTTCCTAGTAGATAATGGTGCATAAGTTCATTTTTCAAAGTGACCTCTGGGCTAGACAATGATAGTACACACCTTTAATCCCAGCACTGGGGAGGCAGAGGCAGGCAGATCTCTGTGAGTTTGAGGCCAGGCTAGTGTACAAGAGCTAGCTCCAAGATAGCTAGGGAATGTTACACAGAGAAACCGTGTCTCAAAAGCAACAACAACGACAAAAAAAGTGAACTCTGGTTCTGCTGTACAAAGGCCCAGCAGGGATGGGGAGTTAAGATCACCAGGTTATTGGAAGGAGATAGATCATCCATCATGAGTTTTTCTTTCTAGGCTTCTTCCTACTCCTGACTCCGTTGGCAAAACTAGGTGAGTCCATCCTTAAAACCATCGAATAGATAAATTTCACTCTAGCAGTAGAGCCTTCATTATGAGGTTTTGGAGAGTGGTTTCCGTTAGGGACTCTTTGGTAAGTTTTCTGAACTTTGAAGTTTGGACGCTAGAAACCTGCCTCCCAGTTCTCTCTGAGATACTCTCAGACACTGCCCTCGATTGAGTTAGACATCAACTTTAATCAGATAAACTTTTTTTTTGGTTTTTCAACACAGGTTTTTTTCATGTGGCCCTGACTCTTCTAGAGCACACTTTGTAGAGCAGGCTGCCCATGAACTCAGATATTTGCCTGTTTTTGCCACCCAAATGCTAAGATTGGAAGAGTGTGCCATAATACTTGGAGAATAAACATTTTTAATTAAAAATAAGCTTCTCCTTTGCTATATCTGAACTGATCACTCCCAAATACTTTGAGATTTTGTTATAATTTATGACTTTCAAATACATTTTTCACTTGACAAATGACTGAAGTTATTAATTTTGTCTTCAAACATGATGCTACAGAAAGAATTTGTGTACCACCTGCAAAATATTGCAGCCTATTATTTTGGCTTGCTTTTAGTGAGTTACTTCTACATTCTCTACATGAAGATGTTCTCACACTTCTCATTAGCAGACTTCCCTTTCAGCTTGAAGGACTCCACAATATCTCAAGGGCTTATGGTTGTTGACTCTGTTTGCTACTATTTTTTAAAAAGAATTCATAATCTGTATTTCTAAATAACAGTGTTGCTGACATGTAGAGCAGACTCTTTCTTTGTTACACTCATTTCATTGATATCACCATGCTGGTCTCTTGTGGCTCGTAGGTCTTTGCTCAGAACTCAGCCATTGCCTATATTTGAAGTCCCTCATGTGTTCTTTGCTTCTCTTATCATTCTGACTTCAAGATCTCTTATCATTCTGACTTCAAGATCTCTTACAATAGCAATATGTTCTGAGATCATGATTATTTGAGATAAATTTCTTTTGTGTTCCATGACCTTCTTGGACTTGATCACGGTCATTTTACTCCAGGTTTAAGAGTTTTCTATACTCTCTTCTCTACAGTTATTCTGCTTATTTTTATTAACTGTTATTCTTGTATTTTTCATATTGTTTTGCTAATTCTTTGATAATTTTATGCAATTTATTTTAATTACATTAACTGTCCTGCCTAAACTCATCCTAGTTCCACACCTCTATACACACAAGGAAATCACTGTGTTACTTTATCCTTTTGTAATTTTTGTGACTAATTATTTGGTATTGGGATGGTATCAAAAAAAATCCTGTCATTCTTCTTCATTGTACATTCATTCTACCCATCAGATTATATAATGCCTGATCTAAGAACACTCATTCTCCTATTTTATCACATGTAATTTTAAAACATTTGATTAATTTTTTAATGCACCCACAGACATATACACTCGTGTTTTGTGTATGCTTATACATTTGAATCTCTCTCTCTCTCTTTCTGTGTGTGTGTGTGTATTGGGTGTTGGGTGTACTTTTGCTATAGCACAAGTGTGTGTCAGAGGACAACCTTCTGAAATCAGTTTTTTCTTTTCACCACATGGGCCCAGCAATGGAACCCAGAAAGTCAGACATAACAGCAACAGACTTTACCTCCTTAGACAACAAGCAGGTCCACAAACGTGTCAAATTCAGTAGTTGCATGCTTTAATTAAGATGAATGATACCAATTTTTTTCTGTTGTTTAATGATTTATTTCCAAACTTTATAGAGTTTGATTTTATATAGTTAGACACTCTCTCATTCTTTTATAAAAGACTACTCCTTTTAAATTTAATTTCTTGAGACTTTCATATATGAGTACTATATTTGCATCATTTCTATCTATGTCTATATCTGAGGAACTTGATATCCTATGCCATGGATAATTCCCCAATCAAATTTCTTGATGCTCTATGCTCAATTCTAAGAAAAGCAAACAACATGAATATCTTTCAGCTGATGAAGAGATAACAAAAATGTCTCATATGTACACTCTATAATACTTTTCAGTGGTAAGTAAGAATGAAACCATGATATGTTCAAAAAAATACATGGACTTAGAAAATATGAGTGATGTTACACAGACCATAAAAAATGTGACATCTCTCTAATGTCTTGTTCTAGTTACCAATCTTTACTCATGGTGTCTTATAATTCTGTCACTGTTTTAGAAATACTGCAGTGAATTATCTGTTGTGGGCTTCATAGATCTTCCTTTCCTCTGTATTTACTTCCAGGGCCTCTGCATTGTTCTCTGGCATGTTTGACTTCTCTGATTTTCATGTGCAAGTTCATACAAAGACACCTTCATATTGAAGAGAACCATCACCTCTGTCACATGTAGATGTTCTGTAGATGTTAATAGACCTTTACTATTAATTCTAACCTGAGAATGGATTTGGGTAAATTGGTTGCAACCCTGGACAGGATGACATTGGTGTCAATTTTCCATGTTTCACTACCTTGCCTCCTCTGTTTTGAGATCAGATGCTTTTGGGAGCTGACCTTCCTGGTACAATAAGTTACTGGCCACATTCCATGATGAGGGACAATTTTTCACTGGGGTACTTAAAAGCATCTATTTGAGCAGTGTTACAAGATGCCCACACTGTTAGGAGTATACATTGTCTTCATTGCAGTGTTTTGCAACTGTCTTTTTTTCTCAAATACATCTACCAAGTGGATAGGGAAGAATGACCAAGATTCATTTGTTGACAATCAGGAGTCCAAATACTTTTTATCACCAAGTATCCAAAGAAGCAGAACAATGCTATTCCCTCAATATTTCACATGTAAAAGGAAAGAACCTTGAAATGGTTGAGAAACTATATGTCTGCCTCTAACTTGTCACTCAGTGTAGAAACATGATCTGGTGTGACATCTGTGAATGAAGCTCTGTAGAAGAGTACATAAGGGGCAGAGTAGTACAAAGGACTCATGCCTACTCTTTTGTTGTCAGTTTTCTCAGTTCTGTGGTCCTAAGGGCAGACTCCCCTCGCTCCTGAGGTCTAGAAAATTCACAGTGTATTTATAACCCAGTATTGTTAGATTTCGAGTCACTGAAGGTGAGTCAACAGCATTCCTTTTTCTTTAACTTAGTGGCCATAATTCCTATCTGTGATCTCATAAATGAGTTTTCCCTCTAGTCATCTGATATAATTTCTTTTTAGATTTCATTTTTTCATGATCAAATCTACTTCATTATTTAATACTTACTCATAATTCTCAACTAACAAATACTAGCATAGAAAGACACTCCATATCTTTATAGTGATTTGGAGACATACATTCCATGAAAATGAACCTATTTCGTTTGAGACTTCCCTTGGGAAGACACAACACATGCAGTTATGGTCACCCCATAAAGGAAACCCAGGACAGACCAAACAATGATTGCATCAATGTCCAAACCTTTGAACCTGTGTGTCTGCTGAGATTACTAATAGCAGTATGGATAAGGGTTTATTTGTAGAAAAAAAGGGATGACTCAAAAGCATTACTGAAAGTGCACCTCAATATGGGTGATTATCATGAAAGCCAAAACCATGGAGCTCCCTGCACAACTTGCTAGCAACTCCTTTTAGAATTCAGCAGGAAAACTAACTTACAGTTTCTATGGAGTGGGAAGGGCCACTGGTGAACCTTGCAAGTTTCAGCTCTTCAATACATTGATGTTTGTTTACCTCTTGAGTCCCTTGAGCCTTTGAAGCTCTAATATCGAAACCAATGTTTCAGTTCAGAGAAAAGTATCAAACAATTAACCCCAAAGAAGTAACACCTTCACCTCTCAGGAATGAAGATGGATCACTAAATATTTTACTCTGGGTATCTTTCTACAGGAATTAGTAACAAATCTTCACTGTCTGCTTGGCCAAGCCATGTTGTTTCTCAGGGACAGTATGTGACCCTTACTTGTGACACTCACAGTGAGTCTAAATCATTCAAGCTGTACAAAGAACATGGAACTCCTATTCCTCAGTTCCATAACAAAATATTCAAGAAGCCACTTTTCTTGGGACCTGTGACTCCAGCATATGCAGGAACCTACAGATGCTATAATTATATACATCAATACCATGATGAACTTTCATCATACAGTGACCCTCTGAAGATCATAATTTCAGGTCAGAGATCATATTTGTTTTCCACATCATTTGTTGTGTATTTTCATTCCACCAACCATTCCCACCTTAGAATTTATAAAACAGGTTTTAGTCAGAGTCTCATAATTCTAAAGGAATGTTCAACAAAGGAACTGGAGGCTATGATGAGCATAACAATATGCCCACGGCCATGTATATTCTTTTCCCTGAAGCTTAATGAGTCTTGAATAAAACAAGGAAACCTTGGGCCTGAAGATGGAGCTCATTATCAACAAGATGGCATCAGGATGGGAAAATATCCCCAATTATCCTGACTCTGCAGAACCACAAGTGTTGATAAAACAGAAGAAGTAAAATGCAGTTGCTTCACTTGTTTGCAGTACAAAGCATTATCAGGGGGACACCCTACTTCTAACTCTGATAGTTGAGGAAGTTTCCAAGTGCCAAGAAATTCATTGGGCCTCTAAAAAAAATGGAAGGCAAAAGGAAATGGATTCCTTTCTAGTGATTTGAGCAGTAACATATCCCTGCAGAAAATTGATTTATGCTACCTGAGTTTGTTTCTGATTTCTGGCCACAAGAACACTTGTGTTCTCTTTAAGAATCACATTTGTAATAATTGTATTGTAGTGACTGGTAAGAATACAGAGACCCATATTAAGGACAACTTAAAAGTTGGGGAAAGGATGTACAGAAAATAGTAAAGTAAGGAATAGTAATAGTAAAGTAAGAAAATAGTAAAGTAATGCATCAACATGTTAGAAGGAAACAATTCAAATGATTCTAGATCAGGAATGCCTTAGAGAAGTTTGAACCATAGAGGTCAGAAGTATCTGCCTGATACCTACCTTCACTACTGATTCTCTTATCTTGTCAAGGATTATACTTGGTCAAAGGTAGCTCAAAATGACTCATGAAGGAGCATGTCAAAATCCTTGCCATGTTTTCTGCATTCCCTGAACTTAAGAAGGGACAGCACTGGCTATGGTAGACATGTTCAAATGACACATTCTCACAATAAGTCAACTGGAAAATATTGTGCTGCTACCAGGGCCAAATAAGTGGGAAATAATCCGAGAAAGATAGGGGAATCTGTGAACAAAGCAGACATATAAACAGAAAAGGAAAGGACACTAAAACACTAACAGGAAGAACATATTAAGGGGGAAAATAGCATAGGAATTCTGGGATACATAGATTGATAGCAGGTTCATACTCACAATCTTTTTATTCCTAGGAATCTACAGGAAGCCTTTTCTTTTGGCCCTACCAACTCCCCTGGTAAAATTAGGAAAGAAGGTGACACTGAAGTGCCATTCAGAGATCATGTTTGACACTTTCACTTTGACTTCACATAGAATGGGAGTAATCAAGGACTCTTTCCAGCTGTCAGCAGAATCTCATCTTGGGGGATCCCATGCCAACTTCCCAATAGGTCCTGTGACACCTGACCATGCTGGGACTTACGCATGCTATGGTTCTTACAAGCAAACACCATATGAGTGGTCTGAATCCAGTGACTCTGTTGACATAAAGATCACAGGTAAGAAGGTGCTACTTGGTCCTAATCCTCTCTGTGATGCAGAACAGTTATTCTATAGACTAGAAGTTCCGGGAGGTTGTGGGAAATAGGAGGGTTGGAAACTTAGAGAAAGGCAGCCTGTAGAAGTATATTACTGACATAGACAATGAAAACGGAAACACAAGAAAAGATCATTAGTTATAATGTAAAGCACAGATGTAGGAATGTCAAAGAATCCATAACTAGATGTAAAGAGAAGGGAGTAACTTGATGAGCTTGATGTGACAATATCATGCTTCTACTAATATTTAATGTCCTCAACAATTCAGAATTGTGTTTACTTTCTACCTCCACAAGACATCTTCTGGAGACATAGACATATTGTGTGTCTTAGCCAAGTTTATGTGTTGAGTGTGGTTGGTTCTTCATGAGATCTGAGGTCTTGGTACAGATGACACCCAAAAAATTTCTATCTAGTTTGACAGTTCTTCCATTCTTGTGGTTGACTGGTTATTCATCCAAGGATAGCATAACCCTGGGAATTGAACAGACCACCAGTCGCTCTCTGTTCTCTACATTTCCAAACTGTTGTCAGCCCATGTTCCAAACAAAGTCATCTAGGATGGGTAAAAGAAATCCTATAGTGGTTCTGCCTTGGATACACAGACACAAATAATACAGAGAAATGGAAATAAATACAAATAATACATCAGGCAGGGAGACTGAGAGTAAGGCTCAGAGATAGAAAGGGTTGAGGAAATAGTAAGCATTGCATGTGTGCAAAGAGAAAACCTGCAAAAAATCTTATGGTTGAATGAAATATTTGAATGATAAAGTAATAATGGCAAATATTGGATATTTCAAAGCAGAGATAGGGAGGCAGATGATAGGTTACACTTGAGCAGTAAATATATTACAAGGGAGGGAAGATCATCATGGCCCCTGTATAAGGGAAACAAACACATTTATGGAATATTCTGTCCTTTGAAAAGAAAGATTCATTAACACGGATACAGAAAAAGAGACAAGATAGAAAATGAATTACATAGAATGAAGTCAGATTCTATATTTTTAATATACATAGAATGAGGGAGTTATAGGTCATAAAATTGGTAACAAACCATGAAAAAGGGAAGGAGATTAACAAAGAGGGATGGGAAAATAGGAGGAATGCATATACCATGGAAGGGTCAATGCCAGGAAGAACCAGCAAAAGTGGCATACAGGAATAGGGTAGGAAGAAAATGAACAGAATGCACTGTATGATGATGCCTTAATGAAGTCCATTGCTTTATGCCCCAATTAAAACAAAATAATAAGTACCTCTAATTAAACCCTTTGATTGGAAAAAAAACATTTGGAAAACCTGAAGGTATAAGAAAGAAAAAGTGGGAAAGAGAAGTGAATCAGAAGAAGCTGAAGAACAATATAAAATACTAGTGTTAATATGATAAATAATACACTATCATATATATATATATATATATATACACACACAAAAGACAAAGAGGGCATGAAATAAGAAACTGTGTTTTACTTTAAGAAAGCAAAAAGGTTTGTAAAAATGAACATTGTATGCAAAAGTATTTCATAATCAAGCCAATTAATAAATACTATTAAAATATATTAATAAAAAACATCTAAAATACACAGGTCATGATCCAATGAATCCAACTAGACAAAGAAACTCTCAAAAAGCAAAATGGTGGAAAGAATGCTTGTGTAACACAGTGAAGTCAGAGACACAGTAAGATAAGATTGAAGAAGGCAGAGGAAGAGGAATAAAGAGGCAGGGAGAAATGTAGAAAGAGAGAGAGAGAGAGAGAGAGAGAGAGAGAGAGAGAGAGAGAGAGAGAGAGAGAGAGAGAGAGAGAGATCACAGAAATGGAAGCAGGAAAATAGAACACTAAGGAGAACACTGATAAGGAACTGCCCCTCTAACTGTCTCTGCCCCTTTCCTTTCAGGTTTATACAAGAAACCTACTCTGTCAGCCATGATGGGCCCTGTGGTGGTGCCAGGAGAGAACATGACCTTGTCCTGCACCTCTGACCACCATTTTGACATGTTCCATCTGTCCAGGAAAGGGGTGCCTCAGGTACTTGGACTGCCTGCAGTTCAGAGTCACAATGGAACATTCCAGGCCAACTTCCTTCTTGATCCTGTGATAGAGGAAGAGAACTATAGATGCTATGGCTCTTTCAGGAACTCCTGCAATATGTGGTCATCCCCAAGTGACCCATTTTACCTTCCTGTAATAGGTAAGAAAACCTCATCAGTATCTCATGTTTTGAGACTAATAAAATCCTAAAGCTATGTGTGAAAAGCATCCTACTGATGATGAAGAGAAAAATCCCATAGGAAGTTTAAAAGAAGCATTGCCATGAGTCCTGTTGATTGATATATATATATATATATATATATATATATATATATGTGTGTGTGTGTGTGTGTGTGTGTGTGTGTGTGTGTGTGTGTGTGTGTGTACCTGCACAATTCTTCATGCAAGGTGAAGGACTGTCTGCTCAGGATTTTATACTCTGAAGCCATAGAAATATATAGCTAAAGAATAATCATAAAACATTTTGTAGTGCAGATAGTTACAGAGCCTGGGGTGTTTTGAAAGGTTCCTCCTTACTGCCATTGATATCATATATATATCTATAATGCATATTATATTTACTATGAGAATTTTATATGCTAAAACACAGAACATATAGTAATATGACATATGCCATCTAGTTTCTTATTCTTCATAATTTTATATGTATTATTTCTTTGATAATTTTATTTTTTTTTTTTAAAGATTTATTTATTTATTATGTATACAAAATTCTGCCTCTATGTATGCCCGCACATCAGAGGAGGGCGCGCCAGATCTCAGTACAGATGGTTGTGAGCCACCATGTGGTTGCTGGGAATTGAACTCAGGACCTCTGGAAGAGCAGCCAGTACTCTTAAACTCTGAGCCATCTCTCCAGCCCCTATTTGATAATTTTAAACAATGTGCTTTGATCACATTTACCCACTTTCTCAACTCCTCCTGGACCTACCTACCAAACTCTGTTATATTTTTTACCCATGAAGTTCAGTTTGTGTTGCCCATATATTCGTGGACATGCGACCTACCAGTGGCGCATGGCTACCTTACTTTAGCAACACTCTTGAAACTAATTTTCCCAGCAGTTATTGTTTGCCTATATCTCCTTGACTAAAAGTGGGACTTGATGTCCACATCCGCACTGCATGATGGGATTTGGTCTGGCTTGAGCATCTACTGATCTTGTGCGTGCTGTCACAACTGCTTTTGAGTACAAACATGCAACTTTCCTATGAGGCATGATTCATAACAACTCAAAGACAGAAATTGGGGTTCAACCTGAGGGTCTGAAAAGCAAAGCAGCCAGCCACTGACTCTTACCTCAACCTAGCCCCAAAAGGTGATCCTGCCTCCATGAATCTCAGAATGAGACTATGTCTGAGAGTTGTCTTCTCCCGTTTTATAATCCTCTCCAGGCCTGGGAATAAAGGCATGCACCACTAGGATTAAAAGTGTGCACCACCATGTTTCTATGACAAACTAATGTGATTACTGAAATTAAAGGTGTGTGTTACCACTGCCTGGTCTGTAAGGCTGACCAGTGGGGCTGTTTTACTCTCTGATCTTCAAGCAAACTTTACTTATTAATTACAAATGAAATGTTGTTGTAGGAAAACCACTTCTTTGTTTCCAAGCCATCCAAAATAATCACACAGAAACTGTATTAATTAAATCACTGCTTGGCCCATTAGCTCTAGATTCTTATTGACTAACTCTTATATCTTAATTGAACCCAGTTCTAGTAATCTGTGTATCGCCACCAGGCTGTTGCTTACTGGGTAAAGTTTCCAGCACCTGTGTCTGGCAAGGTTACATGGTTTCCTCTCTGACTCTGCCTTATTTCTCCTCACCTTCATTTAGTCCTTCTCCCCGCCAACTCTGGTCTACCCTATCACAGGCCCAAAACAGCTTCTTTATTAACCAATGCTATTCACAGCATACAAAGGGAATCCCTCTTCAAAATACCACTACAGTCTTCCTGTGTTCACAACACAGTCTTCTTGGTAATATAATCAAGCTCATTTAGCTAATTTTGACCCAACTGTTTTCCACAATGAACATTGAAGATTTGTAGAAGTGGAAGTGGTGTAAATGTCCCAGTTAGAGCCAAGCATTCCACAGTGTTTTATTTTCTGCAGTTTAACAAGTTGTGGGTATCTGTACTGATCACCTATTGCAAATAGAAACTTCCCTGAATGACACATTAATATAGTAGTCTAAAGAAAAGCCATTAGGAGTCACTTTAACACTGTGTGCATTTAGCTGAATAAGAGCAGTTCTTCAAGAATCTTGTTCTAAAAATTAATAGTCTATTACTTATCCTTCTATCATTAAATATTAGGCAATTTAGTACACTAGTCCTAAGACTGACAACTTATTGGATTCATCTCTTTCAGCAGATAATCACGGACTCCTGCATATTCTGATTAGAGTGTCATTTTTGATGATGGCTGTCTTCCTCATGTTCATCATTCATTCTCGGTGCTCTGCCAAAAGGAATAAGGATCGGGAAGGAGTCAGTGAGTGTCATCTGAGTAGCATGAGAAACTGAGCCTGGAGAAATGCAGGTGTGTGGTCTTCATTTACTTAGCTCAGGACAGGGTCACTGAAGTAGGGCTTTACCAACAGAAAAGATAAGCCTTGTTCTTTCCCTCAGCCCCCAGACTAGGGACTAGACCTCTACTGTATATTCACATTCAAAGCAGGCTAATATCCAGGAGAAGTTTTATGAAAGAAAGAGAAGGAACACTGAAGAGAGAACTAGTAGTGTAGCGAAATGATGAGATGGAGCTTAGAACACAGAGATGCAGAACAGCTGACTCTGCTCTGGGTAAGAAGAGCCAACTTGGGTTTTACCATACCTCTCATTAATACATTGGTATTTGAAATGAACTTGCAGTAATGCTTTCTTAGATGTTACTAATTACTTCCGTCCCTAAAAATGCAGCCATCTATGACCAAGAAGGACATGAAACAGGTAGGCCCTCATGTACCCACCCTCTTCCATATACAATGAGGCCTGGATTCCCTCCTACTCTGTAATAACATGTGCATACAACATCACTTAACATTTACCTCTTTCTAGGAACATGAAAGAAAAGAAATGCTGGAGGTGACATACACAGAATTTGAACAGTGGACATTCAAGCAATTGACCATGCCCAATACCAAGCAGACCCAGGAATTTTGCAAAGAGATCAGTGTGTACATGGTAGTTATGAAACAATAATCTAAGAACAAAGATTATCTGTAGCCCATGAGTTCTCAAAGAAAGTTCTGAAGAATTCTTCTGTGGAGACCACAGCACTTTTGGCAGCACAAACAAACAGATGCAATGAAACAATTATTGAAATCATAACAGAGGTCTCTAACTTCAGGATCATCAATCATTAATTATTCCAGTATGCCTCTGAATGTGGCTTTCTTTCATTTAAAAATATTATGGCTCTCACTTTTCCTTTAGATAGAAATCAAAACGTTTTCCTCAATCTATTGGTATTTATTTCTTTTCACTTCTACCAACCTGTAAAACCTAAATAGCTGTACATTCTAGACCTACTGGAAACTGTAATCATTTGAGTATCTCACACTTTCATATCAGCAACAGACTCACTCTTTTATTAGTATATATTACTAATATGTAATAATGCTATACAACACATTGAGTCTCAAGACATTTTCTTACATGAATCTTTATTTTGATCATAATCAAACCCAATTATCCTGTATTGGCTTTTCAATACTCCTTCTAATGTCGTTCCAGAGTTCCACACTTAACATAGGGCTTTAGCATATGCTGTGCTGTGTATCCAAAATGCTCTTTGTCAAAATCTTCTTTCATCAGAGGCATCTGATGAATCCTTGTCTTTCCTGAATCTTTCAATATAGACTTATCTATTGAAAAATATTTTCTAAAATGTGACTCAGGTAAGACACCATCTGCTTCTCCCATATTTCTATTACTGTGCTCCTGAAAAATTAACTCATGTCAATCAAAGCCTATTGGAAGAAGAATTATTAAGATTCAGGTAGTAAACAAAACCTCACAAGTATCAGGAAGATCCTGAAAGCGTAAAAGACTCACACACAGATTCACCAGTGCCTTCCCCAAAAATGTATGTGTAATTATGATAGCAAAGCAGAGAAGACCCTCCAATTGACTACCCATTTTGGCACAACGTTATGGAGGTACAGCCACCTTTAATAATCTCCTCATTCATTAGGATGGTTAGTGTTATATTGATGGCTACATTTATGTTTAAAAGTTTTAAATTTCTGAGCTTAAGAGAACTATAAATCAAAATTGTACTTGAAATGTTAAAGCTTGCTAGTTGTTCATTTTTGTAATTGACTGGTCATGTATAATTTTAGGAAAGCTTCTCTTTCTGTTTCTATAAAAAAGCTTCTTTTGTACCAGATGGCCTTCTGCTTTCATGTTGACAGAATATAACTTCAGTTGCTTGCCTTTAAAATCACCTGACTGGGGTGTCTGGGGGCTGCATTTTGGAATCCCTTGTCCCAGATGTATATCTATTATCAAGATATGAATGAAAGTCTCTGCTTTATTAAAATGTGTTAGTGGCCAGACTGTTGAATCTCTGAACAAACACTCACTCCCATATCATCATGATCCTGTAAATAATCCTAGTAAATGTATTAGTTCACCAAAATAGTCCTAGGGGGTCATATTTGTAGAACTGGGAAGCAGGGCTTGGCTGTTGAACACATGATGTAGCGCTGCCTTTTAATTTTGTCCCAAGTGGCTTTCTATTGGGAGTTTGGCTCTTCTGGTCTGGATGGAGGCCTGTGTATTGGTTGGCTGGGTCCAGGATGCTCCAGCTCTCACACACTCCAGGGCTGGAGTCTGGGTGTGGCTAGATGCTACACATAGCCTCTCCTATCCTGATAGACGTACTGTTCCTGAGAACGGACTGGGGACCTAGCTATGCTGTGATCACTCCTAAATCCCCCCTGCCCCTTTTCCTGGGTGAGACCACTGTTTGCCAAGCCATTTGCAAAATGAACACTGTGGCTACTAACATTCGTTAAAACTACCAAAATCAAACCTCTGTGTATATGTGCCTTTGTGAGCATGGGTACTCTTGCCTATGCACATGTGTATGGAGGCCTAAGGTGGACATCAGGTATCCTCCTGGCCTGGAGTTTTTATGGGTGCTAAGGGATCTGAACTCTGACTCTCGTACAGCAAGCACTTTACCCACCGAGTCATCTGAACCTTGCCTCTCTATGAATGTGTCCACTGCCGATACCTGGAATTGTCGCCCCCATTCGGTTAGCCACATCAGCTAGGCTGTCTGTAATTGAAAGGCTAAAGCATCAGTCCAGGAAGTGATCCTCTGGGGCTCTGTGATTCGCCAGTTTAATCCAATGGTACATTGGTATCTGTTGACCTGCTCAGCCTGCCCATACCTGGGGAGGAGTGACTATGGAGCCCAAGGATGCTATTGGCAGCCTGACCTCTCATCTCAGGTAGACCCATGTGTAACTCTGACTGTGGCTTCCTTGTTGCTCTTAACATCAGGTAAGAACATCCAATAGTCAGGACACTGAGGCAGCCATGTCTGCTTAAAATCTTCGTTCTTTTCAATGGTGTGTTTTCCTTGA